GTTAGAGGTCGAGAGGTTTCCGAGCATAGGGTCAGGGAAGACCCCTTGGACGTTGCTACCTCCAGCACGTCTTTGGGCGGAAACGGGGACTCCCTACTTCGCCAAGTCGAGGAATACGCTGACATGTCCGCCTCGTCTTCCCAACAAGACGCACTCGTTCTCCTTGACAACGAGGGTGTTGGCCCGCAGGCCGGCTCTCCCGGGCGTCAAGGGTATGGGGCTGCGCCCACGAGTACCCTTTCAGGGCTGGCCACAGACCTCGACCCGTCCAAGATCAGGCCCCACGCCGCTAGAAAGGCATTCGTCGACGCAGGGATCGACCCCCTTCACTTCTACGTGATCATTCCGACCCCCCACAACAGGGCGCACAATCCTCCCCCCGATCATATGACAGTGTACACCCGGGCACTCACCTTTGGGCTAACCTTGCCCTTTCACCCCTTCGTGAAGGCTCTATGCGGCCTTCACAGGATCTCGCCCGTACAATTGTTACCCAATTGTTGTGTGACAATAAACTCCATGATAATATTGTGGAGGAAAATTTTAAGCCTCGACCTCAGCGTCGAGGAATTTTTATACTGCTACTCCCTTCGGGCTTCCCCTGGGCAGAGGGGATTCTTTTACATACCTTCCCACGCTAAGTCCAAACCTCCTGTCCCACCTGTGGTCAATGGTCCAAACCTTATGTCCCACCTGTGGTCATCGGGAAAACCACAAGTTCCCACGGGTGGAAACCCCAATTCTTCTTCCTAGGGGGTAATTTTAACTCTCACCCCCTCGATGGCGATCGACCGGTGGGGACACAGACAATATTTAGCAAATACTGTAGGTTTCTCCGCCTTTTTCCTTTCTCGCAGGTTTTTGTGCAGCTGTCGAGCCTTCTGACGATGTTTCAATCTCGCAGGTGAAGAAGTCGACCGTCCGACGCTCCCAGCATCCGCGCTCGATCGTGTCGAGAAGATACTGCTGCTTTCCCCTGACCGTCTGCGTGCCTCTGTTCTCAACACAAAAGAGAACCAACAGCTGTACGGCCTCATCGTCGATCTTCCCGCCCCACGTCGACCCGTTGCCCCTCCCGCCGATCTCCTCTAGGGCCGATCTCCTCAGCGGTAAGTCGAGTTTTTCTCCTGACCTTTTTTCTTCTTTTTTTTTTTAGCGAAGTCCGGGGGACATAGTCGAGGTGTTCCTGAGTTGACTCTTCATTTTTCGCGTAGCCGTGCCATCCGAGATGAAGTACAGCATCCTCGTCAAGCCGAAGAAGAGCACGAACGGTGCGGGATCGAGTGGGATGTCGAGTCAGCACACGACCGAGGCTGTTGTCTTGCCGGGCGCCGCCAGGACTCCTAGGAAGGGGGTATTCGTGGTTTACCCCTTGTTCATTGTGTCTGACGTTGTCGACCTCGACCTCACTCACGCTTTGCGCCTCCCGCCTCGCTTCAGCCTTCCTCTGTAGGCCATATACACCTTCTTTCACGAGGACACTTGGGATGTTTTCGCCGGGGAGAGCATCCTGGACTGGCAGCGCCTGACTGTGAAGCGTCAAATCTTGGTAAGCCTCGACCTCGACTCATGTCACTACTGCTTGTATGCGGTAGTCCTTTTTTTTTTTTTGGGTTTCTCCGTCTTGACCGCATTCTCTTTCCTTTGGAATTCAGGCCCTTGAGCTTACTCTTCAGAATTACGTAGAGCTGGAGGCCATCCTCAAGGGGGAGAAGACGCCGGCGGTGGCCATCGACAAGGAGATCACCGCCCTTCGTACAGTTCGAGACGAGCTCTCGACGGACTTGGAGGTCGAGAAGGCAAAGGTGCGGTCCCTCGAGGATAGTATTTCCACCGAAAAATCCAGCAGCTACAAGGAAGGCTTTCAGGAGGGAAGCTCCAAGGGGGTCGAGACATACCTCTCGTCTCGGGAGTTCCAGGAGCGCCAAAAAGAGGCCACTTCAAGAGCCATCTCGGACTTCCTGTCCTCCGAGGACTTCCACCGCATGGTCGACGCCAGGCTTGATGCCTTCAAGGAGTCCCAGGGGCTCAAGGAATTGATCGAGGGCCAAGTGCAGCAATTCAAATCCTCGACGGACTTCGAGGAGCTCATCAACCAGAGGTTCGAGGCCTACCAGGCCTCCGCCGAGTTTTAAGAGTTTCAGATTTCCCTGATGCAGTCCGCGGGGGAACAAATCCTCGACCGCTTCCGCCAGAAACGTCCGGACGTTGACCTATCCTTTTTGGACGAGTCTGACAGTGATGGCGTGGAGGTGGTCGAGCCGCCGTAGGGGGCCGAGGGTGTCGACCAGGCGCGTAGTGGTGAGGAGCAGGCTATGGGCGGCGACGGCGAGTAAGGAGGAGACTCTAGCCGGGGCCTTCTATTTATATTTTTTGCTGCAACCCCCTCTTCTCTTCTCTCCTTTTTTTTTGCAGGGCCGTGAGGCCCAGACAATTGGTTCGGTAATTTGTAACGACCATAAGGTTGAGACCAATTTTTACTTTTTATATATGCTTTTCATATAATATTCGTGCTTTTACTCACTGTTTGTGTAGATTGTTGCGTATGTGTATATTCTCTTTAAGGAGCGTTGTGCCTTTTGTTGGGGGGCCTCATTGTTGGGCCTTAGTACCCCCTTGTCGAGGCTGAGTTTGAGAAGTCAGCCTCGGCACATCACTGTAGATGCTTTGACGTAGATAGTGGGATGTGAGGAGCGTAGAAAAACTCGCAGTCGCTCAAAGCACGGTTGGGCCAGAGTCCTATCGTCTTTGCAAGTTCGTGGGGGGCTCACATCGCCCCCTTGCCAAGAACAAGGCTTTGGACTTGTCTTCGACATATCGTCGTCGTTGCATCAATGACTTTAGTCGACGTATCGACAATTGTAGAAGATCATACCTGTATAGTAAGAATTAGTCGATGTATCGACGTATATTTATTTACGTATGAGTTACAAGTTGGCTTTTTAGCCTGCCAGAACGGGGAAATGAAAAAAGCAGAAATAAAAGACGCCAAGTCTGGTCTATTAGGTCGACGCTTCTCGTAGTCACTGATAGTAGACCTTCAACTGGTCTGCATTCCATGTATGCTTGATGCCTCGACCGTCGAGCTCTGCAAGTCGATATGACCCGTTTGCAACAACCTCTTTTATCCTGTAGGGCCCTTCCCAGGTCGGACCCAAGGCTCCGGAGTTCTTGGGTTTCGTGTTGGGGGTTACTACCCGCAAAACTAGGTCCCCGACCGTGAAGCGCTTCGGCTTGACCTTCTTGTTATAATACCTGGCCGTTCTTGCCTGGTATGCGGCGAGCCTTAACTGCGCGTTTATGCGTCGTTCTTCTAAGAGGTCGAGCTCTAAGCTCATCAGTTCGGCGTTCTTATCCTCCTCGTACCGGGTTACCCGGTCGGTTGGAATGGACACCTCTACTGTAAGGACTGCTTCGAACCCATAGGCCATTGAGAATGGGGTTTCCCCCGTGGTAGTTCTACTAGTTGTTCGGTAGGCCCACAACACTTTTGGCAACTTGTCGGCCCACTTCCCTTTGTAGGCGTCGAGGCGTCATTTGAACATGACTTTGATTATCTTGTTGACAACCTCGACCTGCCCGTTAGACTGGGGGTACACGACAGAGGAAAAATTCTAGTGGATCCCAGCAGCTCGCAAAACTGGCTGGTGTTGTCGTTGTTGAACTGCTTTCCGTTGTCAGACACGAGAGAGTGTGGGACACCGAACCTGCACATAATGTTGTTCCATATGAAGTTTGTGCATTTCGCCTCCGAGATGGCCGTCAATGGCTTGGCTTCGACCCACTTCGTGAAGTAGTCGAAGGCGACTATAGCGAACTTGTACCCTCCTGGGGTTTTGTGCAGGGGACCAATAAGGTCAATCCCCCACTTTGTGAAGGGCCAAGGGGATAGTATGGACGTTAGGTCCTCTGAGTGCAGTCGAGGTGTCGGGGCATACCTCTGGCAGCTTTCACACCTTTTCGCGTACTCAGCCGCATCTTTTTTGAGACTGGGCCAGTAATACCATTGTCGTAATATTTTGTAGGCTAGGGACTGTCCTCCCACGTGATTCCCGCAAACCCCATCGTGCACCTCCGATAGCACCCTATTTGCCTCCTCTACACCGAGGCACCTGAGCAAGGGCATCGAATACCCTCTGCGCTAGAGGAGGTTGTCGTGCATCGTGTATCTTGCTGGCTGATACTTCATCTTTTGGGCCTGCCGCCTGTTCTCAGGAAGCTCGCCGCTGACCAAGTACCTGATGATTGGATCCATCCAGCTAGGTTGGAGGTCCACTGGTGCGACTTCAGGCCGCTTCTCCGTGGACGGGGTTTTCAGGACTTCTAAGGGTACCAGGTTTAGGAGATCGGCGTCTCTCGACGTCGCCAGCCTGGTGAGTGCATCGGCGTTGCTATTCTCTGCCCTCGGTACCTGCTGTATGTCATAGGTGGTGAACTTTCCCAGGGCTTCCTTAACCTTCTTCAGGTACGCAGCCATCTTCTCGTCCCTGGTCTGGTACTGTCCCTTTACTTGATTCACAATGAGTTGTGAATCACTGAAGATGTCGAGGTTTTCAGCTTTCAAGTGCTCCGCCAGCCGGAGCCCGGTGAGCAGTGCCTCGTACTTTGCTTCGTTATTGGACGCGGGGAATTTGAACTTGACGGCCGAGGTGACCTTGTGTCCTTCCGGTGTGTGTAACACCAGTCCTGCCCCACTGCCGTTGTCGTTGGAGCTGCCGTTGACGTAGAGCTTCCATCGTGCTGGTTCGTCGGCTCCCTCGACCTCGGCTGGTAGCCCTGTGAACTCTGCCACGAAGTCGGCCAGGGCTTGGCCCTTGATAGCGGTTCGTGGTTTGTAGTCGATGTCGAACTAGCTGAGCTCTATTGACCATTTAAAGAGTCGACCAGAGGTGTCGGGCTTTTGAAGCACCTGCCTGAGGGGGTGGTTGGTCAAGACCTGAATGCTATGGGCCTGGAAGTAGTGCCGTAACTTCCTTGCTATCACAACTAGCGTGAGGGCGAGCTTTTCCATCTGGGGATACCTCGTCTCCACGTCGAGGAGGCGCTTGCTAGTGTAATACACTAGCAGCTGCACCTTCTTCTCTTCGCGGATTAACACCGAACTAACGGCGTGCTCCGAGACCGCTAGGTAAAGGCTCAGTATCTCCCCAGTCACAGGTTTGGACAGCATAGGGGGTTTGCCAAGGTGTTCCTTCAGTTGTTGGAACGCCTGTTCGCACTCTTCCGTCCATAGAAATGGCTTGCTTCCCCTCAGGGTGTCAAAGAACGGTACGCATTTATCTGTGGATTTGGAGATAAACCTATTAAGTGTGGCCACACAGCCTGTCTGCTTCTGGACCTCCTTAGGCTTCTTTGGCAATGCCATGTCGAGGAGGGCCTGAATCTTTTACGGATTGGCCTCAATTCCTCGGCTGCTCACCATGAAACCCAAGAACTTCCCTGAAGCGACGCCGAAGGCACACTTCTGAGGGTTCAGCTTCATTTTGTACGTTCTGAGAACACCGAACATTCTTCCCAGGTCCTCCTCATGGTCTTCGGTCTTCCTGCTCTTTACCAGCATATCGTCGACGTAGACCTCCATAGTCTTCCCTATCTGCCCCGCGAACATCTTGTTGACGAGGCGTTGGTAGGTCGCTCCAGCATTCTTGAGACTGGAGGGCATCACTCGGTAACATTAGAGCCCTATGTCGGTGACAAACGCCGTGTGCTCTTCATCGTGGTCGAGCATTGGTATCTGGTTGTACCCAGAGTATGCGTCCATGAAGCTCAGTAGCTCGTGTCCTGCTGTGGCGTCAACCAACTGGTCAATTCGGGGTAGTGGGAAGCTGTCCTTAGGACAGGCTTTATTCAAGTCAATGAAGTCGACACACGTTCGCCACTCCCTGTTCGGCTTTCTTACCATGACAGGATTTGACACCCATTCTGGGTATAAGACTTCTCGGATGAAGTTGTTCCTCATGAGCTTGTCCACTTCTACCCGCAGGCCTTCAGACCTCTCGGCGTTCATTGGTCGACGCTTTTGTCTCTTTGGCGAGAACTTGTCGTCGATGTTTGGTCGGTGACACATGACGTCGGGACTTATCCCTTCCATGTCCTCGTGGGTCCAGGCGAACGCGTCGAGGCTTCCCTTGAGAAACTCGACCAATTTTTCCCAGTTCTGTGCCCCCAACTCCGAGCCTATCCTCAGTGTTCTCGTTGGGTCGCTTTCATCGATGGGGACCTCAATTAGTTCCTCGACCGGTCCTGCTCTGGGCTCTTCTCCTGGGAACGTTGGATCCAAGTCGAGTCCCTTTCCCCTGGTCTCGACCATTCGCAGCTCTCTCCGTACCTGAGTCGGCTCGGCGTAGTGGCGGACGGTTTCTGAGTACGTGAGTCTTGACTCGTACTGGTTGCCTCTGACCTTGCCGATCCCGCTTGGCGTGGGGAACTTCATCACCTGATGGTAGATGGACGTTACCGCCCGCAAGGCCCTCAGGGTCAGGCATCCGATGACCGCGTTGTATTGGTCGCCTCCCTTCACCACCAGGAACTTTGACATAACGGTCGAGGTGTGTGGTCGGTCACCGATGGTCATAGGCAGCTCGATGGCCCCTTCCGGGATGACGCTGTCTCCCGTGAACCCGTACAGTGGCTGGGCACTGTTCTGCCGCCTTGAGCGGGGAATCCCCATCTTGTCGAGGCAGTCCGCGTACAAGATGTCCACGGAACTACCGTTGTCGACCAAGATACGGCAAACCGTGTGGTTACCGATCATGGCCTCGACGACTAAGGCGTCGCTCTGGGGGAAATGTACCCCCCTCGCGTCGGCTTCCGAGAGAGTGATCTCGGCGTCCTCATATCGCGCAGCCTTAGCCTCGTGTCCCGAGACGTTCATGATCCTCTGGCTGAACTTCTCATTCGCCTCTCGAGCATACTCCTTTTGTCCGTGTCGAGAGGTACCACCGAGGTATGGTCCCCCGAAGATCGTTCTTATGATGCCAACCGGTTCGGGCGGGTTATCGCGCCTCTACTCGTCCCGTCGGTCGTCGTTGCGCCTGTTGTTGTTCCGGCGGTCGGCTCGGTATTCACCTAGCCTCCCTTCCCGGAGCAGCCTCTCGACCTCATCCCTCAGGTCGTAGCACTCGCTGTGGTGTGACCACTCTCGCCGTGGAAACGGCAGTATTTGTTCTGGTTTCTCCGCGCTGGGTCAGACTTTAGGGGTGGAAGTCGACGTAGGACCTGGAGATGCCTGATCTCGTGGTAGACGTCCTCGATCCCCATACTCAGGGGAGTGTAGGCGTTGTACCATTGCGGCTTGGGCCGCTTGGTCTCCCCCTGGCTCGTCGAGGCGTTGCCGCCCCTGTTGCTCGGAGCCGGGTTGTACCTTGGCTCGGCTTGCACCTGAGGACCTCGGCGCTTCTTGCCGTTGTTCTGGCTGCTAGCCTGCCCTACCTCCTCCTTGGCAGGGGTTGCCGCCTTGCTCTTTAAGGCCTTCTTGGCCTCCTCGGCGTTTATGAACCCCTGCGCCCTTGTCAGGAATTCCTGATAGGTGTGGGGCGGCCTTCTGTCAAGGTCTGTGCTGTAGGGGATGTCCTTCTTCATGCTGGACAGCGCCCCCATCAGGGCCACTTCATCGGAGATTCCTTCAGTGGCGGCGACCTGTTCCCCGAACCGGGCTATCCAGTCCTTCAGGGACTCGTTAGGTCCCTGGTATACCATCGACAGGTTCTGTTTTGGTGGGATGTATTTTTTGACACCTATGAACTGAGTCAAAAAGGCGTTCTTCAAATCATCCCAGCTGGTGATGGAGTTTGGTTTGAGGGACCTAAACCATCTCCTCGCGGAATCAGAAAGGTGATTCCTGAATGCCCAGCACATCACCTCCTCGAGGTATCCATGCAGGACCATGTGTCTTGTGTACACCTACAAGTGATCGTCCGGGTCACTCCTCCCGTCGTATAACGGAATGGGAGGCGACTTGTACTTGTCGGGAAGTGGGACCCGGATGATGTTTTCCGTGAATGGGTGGTCGTGAGACGTATACATCTTGGCGTCGACGTTAACTGCCTCAGCCACCTTTCCCACAACCTGTTCAAAGTTGTTCAGTCGACTCCCCATCTGCTTCTCCAGCCTGGCCATCTTCTCGGCCAGAGCTTTATTTTCTGCTGCGAGCTCATCTTCCCTCGTCAGCTGCACGACCTTTCCACGTCGGGCGTCGAGCCTTCCTCTCAGGTCTCCGCCATGCACCGACGTGGATCCCACGGGGACGACGTTCCTCCTAGGTGGATCCTGTTGCGGTCGAGGGGGTGCATCTCTGTTGTCCACAGTTGGCGCCGCAGCCTTCTCCACGCTCTCCTCCGTGCCGCGCGTTGCCTGCTCCCTACAGACCTATTCGACTTTGACGGGCGTGGACCACGCGCTCGACTGTCAACGACTTCCTCGGCGTCACCGCGTCGGTCGCCAATCACTTGGCCCCCAACAGCGGCGTTCACCGGGTTCATCGGCGCATCCCCAAGCGGTAGCATTGGGTTCTGCCCTTGTTCCCGCCCAGCCAGGGCCGTAGCCAATCTTTCGACGGCTGTGGCCAGCGTTTCGACCTGCTTTTGGAGCTGGTCGATACGGTCTGGGGGAGTCGCGGGCACCGGTGGAAGTGGATCCGTTGAGGTCCCTGCGGTGGTGGTATTCTGGACATGCTTGCCAGGAGGCATGATGACAGTTTCTTTTGGTTCAAAGCTGGGTTTAATTTTTGGGCTTGAAAGCCCTCCTTCTAGCGCCAATTGTTGACGGTGTTTTTCTGACAACTCGTAATTACCTTTCCAGAAACGCTCACTGTTGTAACAACCACTGAATCAAGCAATAAAATGTAAAATAATGTAGAAGGGACAATCGTTTTATAGTGGTTCGGTAATAATTTTATGCCTAATCCACTTGTGCATGCACTATTTTCTCAGATGTTTACAAGTTCTCTCTGTAATACCAATGGTGTCTAACCCCTTTCTGGGTTTCGTTCGTTCTATTTATAGGCCTCTACATTCGATTACATATTCCCGGCTCCCAAGGAGGAAGCCATCTTCTGTTCTCGATCCTCGTGAGGGTAGGTGAGCTTTCATGATGACTTTTCTTGGAAATACGGCTGATCCTCTCAGCCTGCCGCCTGATTTCCTGACTTCTGCAGTAGCAGTCGGATCAATACTTCCCTCCTCGGGTTAACATGACTTCTGGCAAAGGACCGACAATGTTCCATCGACGCAGCGGTTTCAGCACGTAGAGCCCTCGCCCGACGCCTTTCCTCTTGCGCGATCTCTCGACGCATAGGGCATGTTTGCTACGCCTTACCGTCGATGCCAATAGCCGGTCCTCCGCGGGGAGTCCTCGGCGTTGGTCGTTCGAATGAGTGGTCGATGTCTCGACGGGATGAGCAGAGGCGCGATAACCCGCCCGAACCGGTCATAAGAACGATCTTCGGGGGACCATACCTCGGCGGTACCTCTCGACGTGCACAGAAGGAGTACGCTCGAGAGGTGAAGGAGAAGTTCAGCCAGAGGATCTTGAACGTCTCGGGACACGAGGCTAAGGCCGCGCGATATGAGGACGCCGAGATCACTTTCTCAGAAGCCGACGCGAGGGGGGTACATTTCCCCCAGAGCGACGCCTTGGTCGTCGAGGCCATGATCGGTAACCACACGGTTTGCCGTATCCTGGTCGACAACGGTAGTTCTGTGGACATCTTGTATGCGGACTGCCTCGACAAGATGGGGATTCCCCGCTCAAGGCTGCAGAACAGTGCCCAGCCACTGTACGGGTGCACGGGAGACAGCGTCATCCCAGAAGGGGAGACAGCGTCATCCCAGAAGGGGCCATCGAGCTGCCAATGACCATCGGTGACCGACCACACACCTCGACCGTTACGTCAAAGTTCCTGGTGGTGAAGGGAGGCGACCAATACAACGCGGTCATCGGACGCCCGACCCTGAGGGCCTTACGGGCCTTGCGGGCGATAACGTCCATCTACCATCAGGTGATGAAGTTTCCCGCGCCAAGCGGGATCAGCAAGGTCAGAGGCAACCAGTACGAGTCAATACTCACGTACTCAGAAACTATCTGCCACTACGCCGAGCCGACTCAGGTACGGAGAGAGCTGCGAATGGTCGAGACCAGGGGAAAGGGACTCGACTTGGATCCAAGGTTCCCAGGTGAAGAGCCCGAAGCAGGACCGGTCGAGGAACTAATTGAGGTCCCCATCGATGAAAGCGACCCAACGAGAACACTGAAGATAGGCTCGGAGTTGGGGGCACAGAACCGGGAAAAATTGGTCGAGTTTCTCAAGGGAAGCCTCGACGCGTTCGCCTCGACCCATGAGGACATGGAAGGGATAAGCCCCGACGTCATGTGTCACCGACTAAACATCGCCGACAAGTTCCCGCCAAAGAGACGAAAGCGTCGACCAATGAATGCTGAGAGGTCCGAAGCCCTGCGGGTAGAAGTGGACAAGCTCATGAGGAACAACTTCATCCGAGAAGTCTTATACCCAGAATGGGTGTCAAATCCTGTCATGGTAAGGAAGTCGAACGAGGAGTGGCGAACGTGTGTCGACTTGAGTGACTTGAATAAAGCCTGTCCTACGGACAGCTTCCCACTACCCCGAATCGACCAGTTGGTCGACGCCACGGCAGGACACGAGCAACTGAGCTTCATGGACGCATACTCTAGGTACAACCAGATACCAATGCTCGACCGCGACGAAGAGCACATGGCGTTTGTCACCGACAGAGGGCTCTATTGTTACCGAGTGATGCCCTTCGGTCTCAAGAATGCTGGAGCGACCTACCAACGCCTCGTTAACAAGATGTTCGCGGGGCAGATAGGGAAGACTATGGAGGTCTACGTCGACGATATGCTGGTAAAGAGCAGGAAGACCGAAGACCATGAGGAGGACCTGGGAAGAATGTTCGGTGTTCTCAGAACGTACAAAATGAAGCTGAACCCTCGGAAGTGTGCCTTCGGCGTCGCTTCAGGGAAGTTCTTGGGTTTCATGGTGAGCAGCCGAGGAATCGAGGCCAATCCGTAAAAGATTCAGGCCCTCCTCGACATGGCATCGCTAAGGAAGCCTAAGGAGGTCCAAAAGCTGACAGGCTGTGTGGCTGCACTTAATAGGTTTATCTCCAAATCCACAGATAAATACGTACCGTTCTTTGACACCCTGAGAGGAAGCAAGCCGTTTCTATGGACGGAAGAGTGCGAACAGGCGTTCCAACAACTGAAGGAACACCTTGGCAAACCCCCTATGTTGTCCAAACCTATGACTGGGGAGGTGCTGAGCCTTTACCTAGCGGCTCGGAGCACGCCGTTAGTTCGGTGTTAATCCGCGAAGTGAAGAAGGTGCAGTTGCCGGTGTATTACACTAGCAAGCGCCTCCTCGACGCGGAGACGAGGTATCCCCAGATGGAAAAGCTCGCCCTCGCGCTAGGTGTGACAGCAAGGAAGTTACGGCACTACTTCCAGGCCCATAGCATTCAGGTCTTGACCAACCACCCCTCAGGCAGGTGCTAGAAAAGCCCGACGCCTCTGGTTAACTCCTTAAATGGTCAATAGAGCTCAACCAGTTCGACATCGACTACAAACCACGAACTGCTATCAAGGGCCAAGCCCTGGCCGACTTCGTGGCAGAGTTCACAGGGCTACCAGCCGAGGTCGAGGGAGCCGACGAACCACCACGATGGAAGCTCTACGTCGACGGCAGCTCCAACGACAACAGCAGTGGGGCAGGACTGGTGTTACACACACCGGAAGGACACAAGGTCATCTCGGCCGTCAAGTTCAAATTCCCCGCGTCCAATAACGATGCGGAGTACGAGGCACTGCTCGCCGGGCTCCGGTTGGCGGAGCACTTGAAAGCTGAAAACCTCGACATCTTTAGTGATTCACAACTCATTGTGAATCAAGTAAAGGGCCAGTACCAGACCAGGGACGAGAAGATGGCTGCGTACCTGAAGAAGGTTAAGGAAGCCCTGGAAAAGTTCACCACCTATGACATACATCAAGTACCGAGGGCAGAGAATAGCAACGCCGATGCACTCACCAGGCTGGTGACGTCGAGAGGCGCCGATCTCCTGAACCTGGTACCCTTAGAAGTCCTGAAAACCCCGTCCACGGAGAAACGGCCCGAAGTCGCACCAATGGACCTCCAACCTAGCTAGATGGATCCAATCATCAGGTACTTGGTCAGCAGCGAGCTTCCTGAGGACAGGCGGCAGGCCCAAAAGATGAAGTACCAGGCAGCAAGATACACGATGCACGACAACCTCCTCTACCGCAGAGGGTATTCGATGCCTTTGCTCAGGTGCCTCGGCGCAGAAGAGGCAAAGAGGGTGCTATCGGAGGTGCATGATGGGCTTTGCGGGAATCACGCGGGAGGACAGTCCCTAGCCTACAAAATATTACGGCAAGGGTATTACTGGCCCAGTTTAAAAAAAGATGCGGCCGAGTACGCGAAAAGGTGTGAAAGCTGCCAGAGGTATGCCCCGACACCTCGACTGCACTCAGATGACGTAATGTCCATACTATCCCCCTGGCCCTTCGCAAAGTGGGGGATTAACCTCATTGGTCCCCTGCACAAAACCCCAGGAGGGTACAAGTTCGCTATAGTCGCCGTCGACTACTTCACGAAGTGGGTCGAAGCCGAGCCATTGACGGCCATCTCGGAGGCGAAATGCACAAACTTCATATGGAACAACATTGTGTGCAGGTTCGGTGTCCCATACTCTCTCTTGTCTGACAACGGAAAGCAGTTCAACAATGACAACACAAGCCAGTTTTGCGAGCTGCTGGGGATCCACAAGAATTTTTCCTCTGTCGTGTACCCCCAGTCTAACGGGCAGGTCAATGTTGTCAACAAGATAATCAAAGTC